CGAGTAGATCCAGTGGTGGCAAGAGGTGAAGTCGACGATTGTATTTGCTGTCGATAGGTGGATGTTGGACCACCGTGTGGTCTCACTCAGCACGAGCAAACAGAGCGCGAAAGGGCGAACACTCAGCTGACATACGCAAGACGTGACCGAGCCATCTTGACGGACGCAGAAGAAAGCTTGTTGAAGAGAATACTCGCATTCCCTAAGATACGATACTGTCACCACACACGAGTAATCCTCCTCAAGCACCCGTTGTCAAAGGCCGAGAGCCGGCGCATGTCGTCTACGCGAACTGGCCATGACTCGTTTCCATACAGCAACACCGCCCGAACGGTGGCATCGTAAACACGACCGTTTACCAAGAGGGAAACATCCCGATGAGGCCACAAGTGCCTCAGGTTAACAAATACCGACCGAGCTTTAGCGAGGTGAAAAACTATCTTCCCAATGGTACCGCCATCAGACACAGCTGCCTAGGTAGACAGAGCTATCCACTTGTTCAAGTTGTGCCTACAATAGTGAGTACGGGAACGGTCGAGTGCCAATCCTGAAGCAGAACTTTACACTTTGTCGGGAAAAAGCACATTCCGTACGTAGATGCCTCAATCGCCAAACGTTTTAGAACAGTTTGCATGCTCTTGGAGTCGTCACCAAGTAAGGCGATATCATCGGCATAACCTAAGTCGGTCGCTCGCTCACCCGGTAGTAGATGTAGACCAAAATTTTAGTAACCGTCTAGTGCCCCCGACAGGACTACTTCAATGGCAAAATTGAAGAGGAATGGGGATATAAGGCAGCCCTGTCGTACACCGCTATTAATATTATCATCATGAACAGCAGTACATCAGCCCTTTGAACTGATGCTTCGCTGCCATACAACCACGACGACCTATGAACTAAAAAATAAGAAGAAGGAGAGAAGACGGACTTACCTGAAAACCTTAATGCCTTAAGCAAACATTCAGGGTCAAGGCGCGTACACCTTGTGTAGACAACATACCGTCACAAACAGTTGGCTATCGTGCAAAGATATTGCGGCAACGGCGAGATAGCTTCCTTGCGGCTTTCAGTGCCTCGTGTCATAATCAGCCATTCTCCCGCAGATAAATCAGCACCAATCACACATTAAACAGGCAATCCGATTAGGATATATATATATATATATATATATATATATATATATGTTGCGGAAGCGGCAAGCACCGATGAATTGTACTCCATCGACACCGAGCGCATTGTGCTGTAGAACATGCGGTCGCGAGTGCCTTAGTCAGGCAGGCCTAGTGAGCCATGAGAGAGGTCACTCGGGACCACTGCCGAAGCAACGACGGGTCCCGCAGTGAACGTAGGCAGCACCGGCGCAGCGTTTGTAGGCACGCTGAATTCGATTTACTAACCGCATGGTTGCATGCCAAGTCGCTTTATTTCAGGTGGTGGGTTTTCGGTTCTTTCCTAATGCCTTTCTTTCTCATATAAATGTCTAGTGGGCCATGAGCTGTGCCATCTGGGACCACTACAGAAGCGACGACGGGTCCTGCAGAGAATTACGACGAGCCGGCGCAGCGTTTGTAGGCACGCTGAATTCGATTTACTAACCGCGTGCTTGCATGCTAAGTCTCTTTATTTCAGGTGGTGGGTTTACAGTTTTTACCTTAGTGCTTTTCTTTCTCATATAAATATCTCCCTGTACTCTATTCCATTAACTTGCACACATCGCTTCAGCCAATTGTATTCCATTTCCATAACAATTTTTTGTTCGTGGCATTCCGTGAACTATACTTCCTGACCTCGTGCACTTAGCTAGGATTTGTTTGTAAACACCTTATTACGTATGCTATTTACGTAAGGTTTATGTCACCGTTTCCTTATGCATTAATCAAGTTTTTCTCTTTTCCTTTCTCTCTCTCTCTCTCAAGTGATTGGTTGTTGTTTGATATCCCCGGTGTGGCTGCGCTTGATGTGCATGTTGACAAGGTGCCTACCTGTTTATTACCCACTACGTCGTCCATACTGGCTCCAGGAGACAGTTGGTCGTTGCTGGAGGGGACGGGGTGCACGGTCCTTGTGGCCGTGCTAGGCTCGAAGGGTGGTTCCATGCACTCAGTGTGGAGCGGACTACGGTCCAGCCACCGCCTTGTGTGCGGTTGATTCCCCAAATACAGCGTGCTTGTGTTTGCCTGTGAAGGAGTGTGGGCCGGCTCCGTTGATGAAACGTGGCTCCCATCCGCACGCCTCCCGGTCTTATTCCTTCGGGTTTACACTGGATATGGGGTGTGTGGTTGGAACTGTGGGTGGTGCAGCGCAAGCCATCCATGGTCCCTCTGTAGGCGCAGGCGTCCTGTGGCTTGCCACGGTGACAGGCAAATCCGAAACCGGATGCCGCCAACCATATATATATGTATATGTATAGACTACCTATTCTTTATCGCAACGAGATTGGACCTTTGTCGGTTGCCAAACATGAAAAATGTGTATTTAGGCAAGTGTGTAAACAAATCTTTTACTGGTCTCGGCTGCGCGACATATATTAAAGTGTTTCGAGTCATCGAACACAACCTCCTTTGGTTCCCTAACTGGCAGGCGTGTGCACCGGAAGTAGTTAGATCAGAAATTGACAATTTCATACGATATCCCCAGGTGGACAGTTGAACAACACGTGAGCTCTTTCAGCCGGATCCTGCACTATAGAACATGGTACGATAGGGCAAACGCGCAGATGATACATGCAGAACGTGACCGGGTCATCACTTGCGCAACAAAACCCTCGTTAAAGGGAATACTCGCGTTCCCCAAGATGCGATGTTTGACTTCACCTCTGCAAATACGTTGCTGTCCGCACACACGAACAATCCTCTGTAAGCGTCCATTGTCTAAGGCCAAGAGTCGGCGCATGTCATCTACGCGAACTGGCCGCCGATAACCTCGGGCTATCTAGTTTGCCAGTTGACAGACACTATACGGCGAATAGATGGTGTCAAAGCAATAAAGTATGAAACGCTAACCGAGATATTGAGTAGCGATGGCGTGTGTGATCATTCCTCAAGGAGGAAACGATATCCATCATACTAGTGCTTAATAAACAAAAGGTCAAGCATCAGCTTTAAATCAGTGCGCCGTACCGACGCTTCGTTGCTAAGCTACCACCACCACTCGCGCGTGGCCTAAGGATACTCAGAGGGTCGCCCGGGTCGAACGCATGCCCTCCGGATACCAAGGCAGGCGTGTGATTTGACCGGCCGCGGGCCGGTTATAGTAAAATCTTTGAAGATAATGATATCCAACCGGCACAGATGTTCCAGTTGCACGCTTTCACAAAGAAGCTCGCTGCTCGAGTGAGGCCATTAAAGCTCGTCTTCCAATAGTTGAAGGCTGGCTCCAGCGGGGGAGTATACGGCACCTGGCTATGATCATCGAATGGTCACTCGCTCCCAGAGGCTCTAAGACTTGAATGTCATGCACACGTTGCTCAAAGCTGGTCAAAAGCAGGTCTAAGCACCATGCAGTTGCGAGCGTAGTTATGCGTGTCAGTTGGTTGATGTGCTGTGTGGCCCCAGTTTCAAATATCAACTCCGTAAACTTTCTCTCGACTTCACAATGGCCAGGGAGAAGTTCAGCCTCCGGCCACTGTATTCGGGGTAAGTTGAAATCGCCCATGAGTAGGAACAGCTAACGACTTATGTGGCTGCAGACATGCGGCAACCAGTTCAAGCAACGACTCAGTGGACTGCGCTATACCACGCCTACGAGCATCTCGCAGCGTCTGAGGTGGATCGAACACCATAACTGCTCACATAAACCATCAGCGCTTCGGTAGGCGCTCACTAGTCTCCCACACAAGACTTTATGTAAAGCTTAACGCTTCAAAAATCGGTGATCTAAGATTTTATTTTCTTCATGGCGATAAGTCGCAGTCCCGCATAGTTATCTCCCCCACCCTTACTGTGAATTATAATTCCATACCGAGAACATGCACAAGAAAGTATCTCGGCGACGTTTTGTCCTACAACCTCTCTTGGTCCACGCATGTTTGTGGAACTTTCCATAAAGTCAGAAAAGTTACCTTTTATGCCCTTAGACTTGAGGTGCTTTCAGTACCTTGTAATTTAATATTTAAGTTACTGACCTCTTGCATTATCCTCCGTTGGTTATACAGCTCCACTGCCATCATCCCAGGACTGCTTCAGAAAGACTACATCTTACTTATACGAGCGATAAAGCACATTTCCAGTTGCAACGGCTTGTCTAGAGAGTATTTAGTTGATTTGATTAATTTCAGACATCTTGATGTCTGCAATAATGTTTCTTTTAAGGCACTAACTGATCGATTACATATACCTCATAGTGAGATTTTTAAAACGCACTCTTTCTCTTATAATCGTTCGAAATGCAATATTGCATTCTCCCGTACTTTAACATCGTAATATTGTTTTTCTTTATCAAGCACGTTTGCTTGTACACCAAGCGAAAGTCACAAACATGCTGCGTAAGCGCTTGTTGGAGTGACCGATGTACATATATACCATATTTCTCCCTACACGTATAGAATATTGGCATTACCATCCAGTGTAACTGCCGAAAATGAACCCATTAGGGCACATAATGCTCAGTTTGACTTAACTTGAATCCAAGGTAAATACCTATAGGTTTTCTATTCACGTGTGCAATTAGTAGTCATGACTTTTTAAACCCAAAGGTACACACTAAGCGCAACAAGGCAAACAACCGGTCAAGACAGAAAATGCTAAGTAGACAATCATCAATATCGGGGATGTAGAGGGAAACCTAGACGGGAGCTGTGATTTGAATAGTAAACACATCTGGTGTGGATGGTGTCACGTAATGAAAGTTAAAAATGAGCAAAAGTTGCAGACACTTAGAGAATCGTAGCGAGGTGCTCGATCTGTAACAGACAAGTAGTCTAAACTGCTCCTGAAATCGGGAAGTGTGAAACGGCATGGGCTGACCAAGGAAATACCACGATCCACACAGTTTCGACTTACGGCAGCATGCTCTTCACGTTCGAAACCCGGCCGCCGATCGACAACCCGGGAATCCCGGTCCAAATCGAAAGGACTGTGCAACTGGGACAGAGACTGAAGCAACTGAAAAGCGATCCACTTTTTCTCTTCGACGCACAGGAAAGGTCGGGTACATAATCGATCCACCAAAGACTGGTCGACATAATCCCGAATGATCAGAATATTGCGACCATTAGGAGACGCCTTGCTAAAGGAAAGAGTCCGAATGTTCAAATTAAAAAAATGAAGGAATTGAGACAAAGTAAATGGTTTGACGAGCGGTAAACATAACTTTTAATACTCATTATCACCATAGTACGATTCACATAAAAAACAGAAGTGGATACTAGGCCAAACAGAAAGTGAAAATGAGGCGACATAGTGTTTTGTAGCGAAATCATTATAGTTCAGTCAGTTCAAGAAGTTTTACTTACACATTAAACGACAAAATATTGTGTCCGAAAGGAAGATGACGACAGTAGGCTTGGATAGTGGGTCGATAGACGGAGAGTAGTTCCTTGGCGTTGGAACATGGAAGAACCTTAACGACAACCCGCTGTGAACCTCCATTGTGAGTACGCCTGAAAAATTAGGAAATGTGAATGGAAAACGGGTAGTCATGAGATATTAAAAACCAAGAAAGCAACGCATGTTTTCAGCAAAAAGTGATAGTCATTAATAAGCCAATGATGTCAAGAAAGCAAAACAAAACTGCGAGAATTGGCAACGAAATTCTCTGAGTGGATATGTTGAGTCATTCATTTAGGTTAGTTGAACAACTATGATCTGAGCACCGAAGCGCAGTGGATCCAGCTGCCAAGACGCACACAGCTAGAATAGCAACAACGGCATGAATATGAGGTAGGGTACAAATAGAATGGGAAAAATGGAATCAAATAAGAGGTGCGTTAAACTGGTCAGAATGGAAAGAAAATCAACACTTAGATGGAAGAAACCGAATACCGGAACGCCACTGACTGCGCCAGGTCTGAAAGGGTCTCCAACCATTAGTATAGAACATCCGAGGTCCCCATCCACGAAGATGACATGCACCAGCCTGATCGAATTTCTAGGTCAGTTTCTTCAAGTCTTTATGCCACGTCATGGACTGGCCACCTCGTGGTCTCGCCAAACTTGGTGTAGCCATGACCATAAATGCACGCCGACGTATCCGTTCAAGGGGGATACGGAAGACATAGCCTACTCAACGTATGCGATTGAGATTTAATAAACAATTGAGTGAGGCACCATAAGTTTCTTACCGAAAACCAACTGGCGGACCTCGGCATCGCTCACCCGGTGATTCCATCAGACGTGAGCTATACTCTGTAAGCACGGGTATATATATATATATATATATATATATATATATATATATATATATATATATATATATATATATATATATATATCAGAACTCCGCTCGCCATAGCGCATTTGCTGTCTTCCAGTCGGACAAATAATTTAAAGTGTGTCTGATGCTGTGTAACCTGTGGAGTAATAGCAACTTAAGAAACGGGACAGCAGAAGCCGAAAAATACGCCGTCCAGCTGTTGCCACCTTATCTGCGCACGATTGTAACTATATGTCGCCGTATGTAATTGACAAGGTGTAGGCTCTTTGAGACTAAATGTTTGCTAAGGGCGTACAGATTTTTCACTACGGCCTACTTTTCTCGCTCGTACTAATCTTTATTCCTCAGCTCATTGTGACTGTGCGAGAGCGGAGCATCAGTCCAAATGGATAATGTATTGCGGCTAAAATGACTCGACGATCCGGACCGGTAAGCCCATAGTGGCGTAATTCAACTGCTTTAAACTATTATTTGGTATAACGACTATGCCGAGAAGGAACAAACAGAACCCGCATTAACAGCAACAATTAAGCTAAAAGCACCAGAGTTCATTGTCTTCAGGCAGAGCTCGCTTTGGTTCGCGCCCAGTTGTCCGCCCAGATACACTGTGCGCAGAACCAGCTAGGGGTGTACTGCTGGATTCCAAAAGGTTCACCGACCTCTCCGGTATGATGTAGCGCGCGAAAGATAATTATTATCTGATATCTACAACTTCACTGCTGACCAATTATACATTATTCTTTCTTGTTTTAATTTTCATCACATTCGGTTCGACACATGACTAATCTGTAAGTTGTCCAGCTAGCGTTGCTCACGTCTCGCTTCATCAGTCAATCGAGGTAGACATTTGGTACGCCTCCCGGTAAAGTTCGTGGAAAAACGACAGCGTCCATGCAAGTATTCCCGAACACCCAACCCGCGTGCGACTGGTGGTGGTCGCTCGGCAGGGAAGCGCCGGTACAGTGTACAGCTGACACATTATTATTATTATTATTATTATTATTATTATTATTAGTCCAGAACGAGCGTAAACGACAGTACCTGGTGCTCTAGTCATGTCAAGTTAAACCTCATACACCTGTGCGGGAGCATTTTCAGCAATTTACGTTAACATTGCGGACATAGAGTAGAATAAAATCGGTGGGGAAAATAAGGTGAAATGACACGAACAACAAAAAGAGTACAATTGTAAGCAGACAAAGTTTCTTACAATTGTTGCATCATTACTCAAGGGTCGGCTACCAAGCAAGACAGATAAGGCAAAAATGGGGTTTCGATACGTAGAGGTATGGGAAAACAAAACTCTAAATTTCTGCCGCGTTGAAGAAATGGATTTCGAGCGATGTGTTAGAATTTTGGATGAGAAGTTAAAGCATACGTCAAAATGCTTGCTGACCACAAAAATCAACGAGGGTTTATCTGCTTAGTCCAGGGCAACAGGATATAAACTGCACTGATCTCAAAAGAAGGGTATAATCCTTTTGAAATAATCCGGGGAAAATAATAGGGGAACAGTATAGCCAATGGGAGAGAATACATGTATTGACAAATTTTAGAATTAGAGCACACGGTACGGAGAGCATTTTGAGCCTAAAGTGTAAAAGGATAGTCTTCTGAATTTTTGAAAAGTTTCAAGAGCATGCGTCGACCAGGATAAATTATAGGACAGGAAAACACCGAGATAGTTTACGGAATATGAACGAGAGATGCTTTGGTCACTCACAACCAAAGGAGAGGAGTTTAAAAAAGAGCACAGTCTGTCGGAGTGGAGAAAAGAGATTGAGATAACAAAACACTTAGAAGGGTTAAGGGAGAAGGAAAGTGGGCTTGACCAAGCCAAGAGCTCATCTCATCCTCGCTGGAGTTTCGAAGATTCCTCATTAACTGGGGTTATACATCCTACCCAAAAGAAAAAAATCCAACCATTAATCTTTGGCTGAGAAAACCGGCCCGCAAAACAATAATAGAGTTTAGCAGCTTTAGAAACCTATCACACAATAAGGGTGGACCGCTACCCTCAGAAGATGGTCACTAGCCCCGTGAGTTCTAGCTCAGTCTTAGCAGGGATAAAGCAAACGACACTTCTCCCGATAGCATTAGATGACGAGCCTGCAATCGGAATGGTGTATTAAAGTGTATAGAAGACTATAGTTAGAAGAAGCTAAGCAACAAACTGAAGTGCCCTCACTGGTGAACGTAACTAGTAGTATGGTGCCTACATCTAGCGGTAGGTTTGGAGAGACAATGGTTGATATTTTTTTACAATCTTAGGGTAAATGGTCGTAATGCCTAGTCCAGAATGTCATATCGAGTAGTTTATGTGAAAGTGCGATAGCCAAACGCCCGCTGCAGTCGAATCTACTGTCAGTCATCAAAATGTGACCCAGGATGCACCAAGGCAGATGAAATACAGAGGGTAAAATTGACAAAAGCGGAGTGATTAAAAAGTAAAAAGTAGGGAACATTCGAGACTCTTACTTCGCTTTTGCAACTTTAAAAAGTCGCGAACCCAGAAGCTCTTCCTCGAAGCGCGCGACACTAACAAAATCGGAAAAATAGTCCTCGGTGCTGACTAATGGAGCAGGCGCAAATCGAGCAATTTGGTTACCCATTGATGGGTATGAGAACTAGGCCATAAAACGCAGGGTTGAGCAAGTCATCACATAGCGATAAACTTGAGCGCTCGCATCTGTCTATGAAAAGTTAATGGAGACCGACGCCACAGGGAAGTACTGAGATCCTGAGTATTCCTGAAAAGTGAAAGCTTCAACTGCTTGAGTAGTTCTTATGTATGATCCGCCATATGTCACATTACATAGTCCAACTAAAGAGATCGCATATATTCCAGAAGCCAAAATTGGATGCACCGGGACAGCAAATAGATTCCTGAAACAACGAAAAAGATAAGAATTGATGATAAATATTTGCAAAAGACAGGAAAATATTTTGCATGCTAGGTGTTTGGGTCTGGCGCACCAAAACCGATCATTAGGAGGAATAGTCCTCTGTGCTTCGACCTAATTAATCGAACGCAGGAAGTTAGATGAGCAAAGTGATTTCGGAGGTCTACATCCTAGTGCACGGGATGCAACTTTCATCAGTATCTGACTAATTTACTTCATTGGTCGGTGATTATGTTGCACGTCGGAATTTTGGAGTTTCATGACAGCACAGCAGGTTTAGTTGAAGTATTTGTAACCGCAAGTTAGCATATTTATGCAAGTTGACGAAGAATCATGCCACGGTAACACACACACACATACAGGATGTAAGTGAGCGCGTAAGGTAGATCGGCTAAGCAGTGTTGCAGTGTCTGTGGATGCTGTTACTATGTCCGGTTCAAATGAAAAATACAAGTGCGCTGGATTACAACGCGTTTGTGAATGGGAGTCGTGATGCTGAAACAAAGACCGTGATGGATGGATAACGGAAGAATCCGATCGCTAAAAATATCGATCGGTAAAGTGGCATTGAGTCTTTAAACGGGTGGTCCGGTAACCCGATTTAACACTACATGGTGCTCTGGGCGGTACCTTCGGATTGGCTGATGTCAACGGCCATCCATATCAAAAAAGGGAGAAACACATGAAGTTCATTAGAGGATTGTGCCGAGTTGCTGCACGTCGTCCTCCCGGGGGGATGTAGTCCATAGGCTATAGTAAGTAAGTGACTATAGTACCCATGCAAACACGCTGCAGCCGCAAAACCAATGACATTTCAGGGGTAGGTCAAATGCAGCCGGCTGCTGCCTTAAGATGGATTTGTGACTAGAAATTAGCGTCCTCTACTTATTATTGTCACTTTCACCACGGAGGCGAGAACTATAGCAACTATACCCACTGGATCAACCAAATTGGTAAGCCGTCTACTTAAACACTGCGTCATCAGCTACGAGTGCAATACTCGTCTTTTGGCCAATTGATTAGGGATAGGTTTTCTAGTGAAAGACGCCCACAGTGATTCTCGGGAAGCAGTCAGTAGAGAAGCATACAAAAACAAAAAGATGTCGAAAGCTTGAATTTCCAAGGTGTGTAAGCGCCGAAACTGAAAACCACAAAAGCAGCTAATCAATGGAATTCACAGAAAGCTGTCATCGACCATTTTTCCTCAAGTAACCATCGCAACGAGAGTGGACCTTAACGTGGTGCGATGGTTTGCCTCCAACGATCCACTGAACTATGCTCGGTGGTGCTTTTACACTTCCAGATTTAATCATGCAGATAGGTAAACGACTGAAGACTAGGCAAACTCAATCTCCTGGCCCTTTACTCAAACAATATCTTGATGCTCTAGCCGCTGCAGAGGATAATTAACAGCGCCCTATTTATTGCATTGAGCAGGGTGGATAGGGACTTAAATACCACAGCTTAAGCCTCACCGTCATTTTACACTCCTCTCTTATGTTTATTCACCTTGATCGTCCCGTCCCAACTCCAATTTTCCCCCCAGTTTTCAACACCCCAATTCTTGGTCCACCGCATCATGCTTTGAAAGGCGCTTATCTTCTAGTTTCAACTCACATGCAAACGCGAAGTTACACTTTTGTCCTATCGATAAGCCCATGTCTAACCAAGCGGTCAAGCCCAGTTCATCGGCTTCTATTAGGAGTCCGCAAACCTCCCCTAGATTGGCATGCCACAACGTACTCACTTTGTTACAGATCGGTTAACAAACAGGACTTGCTCGAACATAAGAGACCCTCTCAATCGATATGGGCTGCCTATCGGAAACTCGCCCACAAGATCCGAGCGCTATTCTCACTCCACGATCCCCATCAGGAGACAGCAGCAGTGCTTTCTCATTGCGCCTATCCGGCGAAGATACAGTTTCCAGTTCCGGCCAAGCCGGTACTGGTATGGCTCTGGGCTGAAGCTGCTCTGGTTGATTGGATCACAATCTGTAGCCGGATATGTGCAATCAAACTGGCCGGCTCGTTCAAAGTTTCGAAGTCGCGCGGGGCTAATAGGTGTCTGTTTGTTATCGCCGCCTAGCCCCCCCCCCCACAGACTAGCGATGACTCGGGAAAAGACGAGTTCTGCCGCCAACTGAACGAGCTATTTTGCCACAAAAGAAGCAAGGACACTGTTCTGCTGACTGCGATATGAAAGCTTAAGTTGGGAAATTTTTCACTGATGAGCTGCATCTGGGCGGCCAACATGGAGTAGGCGTCCGTAATGAGAACGGTGAGTGGTTATCTTGTTTATGTAAAGATCGCGTATTTCTTGCGAGCACTAACTTCCGACAAAGCACCCGTCGGAAGGTGACATGGCGACCACAAGTCTCGAACCAACCATGAAGGCAAATCGGTCACATTGCGATCAGTTACCGCTGAAGAGGCTGAGTCCAAAACTATCGCACAATTCGGAGCACACGTGTGGACACTAGCCATGCACTCGAATACGCTAATTTGCAGGTGCGTTTTGGCCGACGCCCTCGACCATCTTGTGAGCGCATAGACACTAGCCAACTGGCGAAGCGAGTTGTTCCGAATGCGTATCGTAACCCTGGCGTTCAGACTGAGCAAGCGCTGACTGAATACAGTTGAAGGTCACTGGTCCCATGTTCAACAGACCTAACTAGCAGTAGCCAAATCAGCTTGTGTCGAATTCAATAGCCAAAATCGAAAGTGAGTCTCTGGAACTTGTCCATGCTTGCCAGCACATTAGGGCTGGAAGCGAACATAAAGAGACTCGCAAAGACCTCAGGTCACAACTCCATGCTAGTATGAGGAGAGAGCGCGGATGCTGGTGGTCTCATCGTACGTCAGCGGTGGAAGAAGTGGTCTCTGCTCTTGGTAACCAACGTAAATTATTTCGTTTAATGCGGGAAACGGTCAACAGGAGATATGGTGATAGTATATATATATATATATATATATATATATATATATGCCTCAGTCTAGAAAAAGCGAGGCCTGCTCTCGAGATGCGCATCGAAATCTCGTCTCCAACAGCCCCGCCAGCAGTGATGCAACTTCCCAAGTAGACAAAGCTCTCCACAACCTCTAGTGTCTCACCAGCAAGCGTGAGTGCAGGCAGAGGCACCTGCCAATCTTGAAGGAGAGCCTTGCGTTTGGATGGCGAAAAGTACATACCGCACTTCGATGCTTCAATCGCCAAGCGGTTTAATGCAATTTGGACGACCTGTGGATCGTCACCCAGCAAGACGATATCATCAGCATAATCCAAATCAACAACTCGACTACCTGGGAGCAGCTCAACGCCAGCATTCAACGAATCGCTCAGAGCGTTCTTCAGGATATCCTCAATGGCAAAGTTGAATAGGAACGGAGAGATAGGGCATCCTTGTCGAACTCCACTGGAGACCACAAACGTAGGCGAAAGCATGCCATAAGCCCTAACCCTGCCTGAGGTCAGACTATATAGAGCGCGCAGTATGGAGACGAACTTCTCGGGGACACCGTTCCTCAGAAGGCAATGCCACAGTACTGTACAATCGACAGAATCGAAGGCTGCACGGATATCCAGGAACACAGCAATCGTTGGCCTCTGATACACATGGCGGAGCTCGAGGATCTGGCGAAGAGTGAAGATTTGATCGATGCAGCCGCGACCAGGGCGAAACCCAGCTTGTTCTTCTCGTTGCAACGATTCGCGTGTTGGGGATAGCCTGCGAAGTATGATGGACACCAGCAGCTTACAAACGACGGGGACTAAGCTTATTCCTCTGTAGTTGGAGCAGATTGTGCGCAGGCCCTTTTTAAGATGGGGACGACTATCGATTCACCACAAGATGATGGAACTTTCTCTTTCGACCAAATTTTCGAGAACAAAGCGGTGAGTTCTCGAACCAGCGATGCGCCATCATCTTTAAATAAAGCCGGAGGAAGACCATCAGGGCCAGGGGCTTTATAACGCCTCATGTGCCGGAGCTCCTGCTCGATTTCCTGGGAAGTGGGAGGGTCTGTTGGGGTAGACCACTCGGCCCCAGCGCGAGCGCCAGAGGTAGCAGATGGGGCTGGGGGCCAACAAAACTGCGAGCCAAAATGTTCGGCCCATCGCTCCAACCGTCGTTGAAGATTGGTGATTAAGGTGCCATCCTCTTCGCATACTGTTTCACTTATACCAGATCGTACACCTTCGGTGACTCGAATGAGATGGAAGAGTTTCCTGGTATTACCACAGAGACTAGCAAGCTCCATCTCCCTAGCACGTTCACACCACCAAGCTTCGCGGTCCATTTGCAGACTCCTGCGCAACTCTCGACCAAGATATTGGCGTTCCTCATTGTGTCTGGAATCCGATGGGAGCAAGCGGCGTCTGTCCATCAGCGACAAGGAGTCGGCGGAAATCCAATGTTTCAGTGGGTGACGGGTAACTCCACAAGTGTCGATACTGGCGAAAACTAACGCATCTTTGATCTGCGTCCACTGCGAATCGAGATCACCGTCAATAGTTGAACCAAGCAAGATTGACAGTGAGGCTTGGTACCTGGTTATAATCGCAGGGTTTTGTAAATTTGTGACGTCCGGTCGGTAGTGAGCGCGCTTAGGTGATCCTCCGAAACGCATGCAAATCTTAGCACGAACCATTACGTGATCGGAGTCTAGATAAGTTGACCAGTACGATCAGCAGTCCGTTACGCTTCCGCG